AAAAAAAAAAAAAAAATTGTAAAAAAAATCCACAGCCCAAAATACATGCAGAAAATAAATAATACAAATATAAGAGAATATTTGCAAATACTATAAATATAAATGAAAACATATAAAATATGATACTAATTAATTAGAGAATTATTTATTAACACTGGTTTTATTGCGTTTCAGGCTGCCAGAGCATTTGGTCATATGAGAGTAACCCAAAAATTTCTCTCTTAGCAGAGTGATATGTTTACCTGCAAAAATATTCCAGCCTGAAAACAGGCATTGTACTTGCAAGAGAAGCAGATCAAGGACTAAGGCCACTACATCCCCAGCAGCACCTCCTGTGTTCTTGCTAGAAACTAAAGGATGAACTAAATCATGTGCACAGAAAGGTGCAAGGGGTCAGCTGTGTATTTTGAGTAGCAGCTTCTTAGTTCTACAGAAAGTTCAAGTAGGTTTGACACGTATCTTTTAAATTTTATCTGAAAAAAAGCATAAGATCTTACATATTTTTTGCTAAAGAGTAATAAAGGGAGTATTTGCCTTACCACATGGTATAAGATACTAGAAATTTAGTGTTAACTCAAATGGAAAATGTATAGAAACTTACATGAGAGAAGTGGGAATTTAAGCATAGGGACCAAGGAAAGAAAAAAAAAAAAAACAGGGTAGAAGTTCATAGGCCCTGGTTATGGATGCCATACTGAAGAATAGTCTTGTTTCTTAAGGAAGTGAAGGGTTTTAATGTAAGAGTTATGTGGTTAAAATGACATTTAGGAAAATTCCCTAAATCACAATGAGATTCACTGGAGAATGTACCAGAGAGTGATGAGCCCAATAGGGCAGATGACTTTAGTGACCTGAACAAAGGCAGTAGCAGTGAGAATGGATAGTGGACATAACAAAAATAACATGGAGGTAATCAGATTTAATCAAACAAACTGTGACCAGAAGGAGATAAAATGTTCCCATTCACTGAGGGAGACAACGCAGTTTTGGAAGAATGGTATTGAGATGCACAGTTCAATTTGGTTAATGTTGAGATTGAGGCTCCAGCTGGAGGTATTTGGATGGTTCATGGCATATGGGTTGTGACAAGTAGGTGTTATGACTATACAGAACCTGCCAACCTCATGATGCCATCGAAAGAAGTGTAGATGTCTGTAAATCTGTCACTCTCTTTCAAGCAATATTTTAAGTTAAATTTTTAAAATATTACCTATATCTTAGAAAATGTTCAAGAGTCTTGAATTTGTTCATTTGTTCATTCTTTCTATTGTTCATTAAATAAATAGTTATTGAGCACCCATTATATGCCAGCATT